GGGGGACTGGGCTGAGAAGGCTGTCACCATGGGCCGCGGGAAAAGCGAAGGTGCCTCAACAGGGACAAGGCAGTGATTCTGAAGGTAAGCAGAGGAAGAAGGTGAGGACAGAGCACAGGATGAGGCCCATTTCTCTGGCATGGGTTGCTTAGGGCCTCACTAAGTTGGTGAGGCTGGCTTTGAACTCACGATCCTCCTGCCTCAGCCTCCTGAGCTGCTGGGATGACAGGTGTGCACCACCTTGCCTGGTTTACGTTTAACTTTTAAAGAAAGTGCCAGACCATAATTCGGATGGGTTGTGCCTTTTGATGTCCTTACCAGCAGTACTGGAGAGAGAGCTCCAGCTTCTCTGCTGATTCTATTAACATGCTGATTAACTGCTCTTCAGGGGTTTGATCTTGCGTTTCTGGAACAAGCTCACTTGGTCATGGTGTATGATCCTTTTTATGTGTTGCTGGATTTGATTTGCTAATATTTTGCATGTATTTTCTTGAGGGACACTGGCATGTAACGGGGCTTGGTAAATTTTTTCTTTCTATAGAGGGTCAAGTAGGAAATGTTTTGGCTTTGTGCCTACTGTAGCCTCTTCTACTGCTTGGGCAAAGGCAGGCATAAATAATAGGTAAATAAGTTGGTTGTCATGTTCCAATAAAACATTATTTACAAAAGAGGTGACAAGCCAGACTTGGTCCGTGGCCCCTGGTCTGCTGACCCCTGGCTGCATAGCTCCTTTGCCCATAATATCTCTTCCTTGCCTCGGCCTTGGGAAAACCAGCTTGGGCAGGACAAAGGGAAGTATTTCCTCTGCCTCTCTTTTCTAAAAGAGTTTGGGTAGGATTAGTATGATTTCGTCTTTATGTATTTGATGGAATTCAAAGTGAAGACCCCTAGTCCTGGGCTTTAATTTGAAGGAAGATTTTAAATTTCTAACTCAATTTCTTGTTACAAGTCTATTCAAATTTTCTCTTTCTTCTTGAGTCATTTTAAATAATTCGTTTACTTCATTTGTCTTATTTTTGGGTATAAAGTTGTCCATACTATTCTTTTATAATTTTAATTTCTGTAAGACACCGGGCATGGTGACGTGTGGCTATAATCCCAGTGACTCTGGACGCTGAGGCAGGAGGATCACAAGTTAGAGGCCAGACTGGGCAACTTAGTGAGACCATGTCTCAAAAGCAAATAAAAAGGGCTGGGGATGCAGCTCAGTGTTCGCCAAGCATGTGCAAAATTAAAATAAAATAAAACCTCTTATTTCTGTAAACCTTTTCTTTTTTTCTTTTCTCTCTTTTGGTACTGGGGATGGAACCCAGGGCCTCACACATGCTAGACACACATTCTACCAGTGAGCTTCAGCTCCAGCCCAAATTTCTGTCATCCTAATTTGGGTAATTTGTATACTCTCTAATTTTCTAGGTCAGCCTAGCTGCAGTTTCATGGTGTATTGACCCTCCTGTCAATATTAAGTGTTCTTCACTGGGTTAATAATCTCTCTCTTTTTAAAAAAAATATTTTCTTAGCTGTCAATGGACTCTATTTTATTTATTTTTATGCAGTGCCGAGAATCAAACCCAGTGCCTCACACATGCTAGGCAAGTGCTCAACCACCGAGCCACAACCCCAGCTTTAATAATATCTCTTGTCTTAGTTTTGTTTGATAGTATCGTAGCTGTAGCTGCGGCACCTTGAGTGGTTTGCTTTCAAACTATGTGTATCTTTCAAATCTAAGGTATGCCTGTCCATCCCCACCTTTAGATCAACGTTTTTATCATTTCCATTTATCTATTTACATGCAGTTATTCATATCTGCTGGCTCTCCACCTCATTCTATTGTTTTTTTATACCTCTCATATATATAGTCTTGTTTCCCTGCTAAGTTGCCTTTTATTACATTAAATAAGTATTTAGTGCATTTTTAAAATTCCTGTCTTTTTAAAGATATTTTTTGAGGTTTTCCTGTTTCTGCTTTCCCAGTACTGGGGACTGGACCCCCTTAATTTCTACCCCTGAGCTCCATCTACAGCCTTTTCACAGTTTGGAGGTAGGGGTCTTGCTACATTGCCCTGGTCAGCTTGAACTTGGGACGCTCCTGCCTTAGCCTCCTGAGCAGCTGGGATTATAGGTATGCACCTGGCTATTTTTTTTAGTTTTAGGGGTTGATCTAGGGATTATAATGTGCATCTTAATTTATCAGTCTATTTTAGAATAATAATAGCTTAACTTTGGTAATATAAAGAATGTTGGTGCAGTGATTCTTCTTCCTCTTTCTTTATTTTTGTCTTTAAAACTCTTTCCGGTGTCGGGGATGGAACCTCATGCACGCCAGGCAAGGGCTCTGTTCCTGAGCCACATCCCCAGTCCAGTTTTGTCCAGTTATTGTCACAAATATCATATCGTTTTTTATACATCTAACAGCATCATGCTATAAATACTGCTTTGTACAATCTTTTATTTTTTTAGTGAAGAGATAACATGAGAAAAATATGCTGGTATTTTCTATTTGATGAGTCCTTGTTTCCATGCCTTCTTTTAATTTAAGCCTGGTTTCTTTTGAATGTATTTAAAATAGCTGCTTTGAAGTCTTTGTCTATAAATCAGACATCTGGAGACAGATAGTTTCTGTCCTCCCCTGCTCTGGAGTATGCTTGCATTTCTTCTTTCTTTGCTCATCTCACAACTATTTGTTGAACGCTGGAAATTTCAGACAATAATTGTAGCAACTGTGATTCTAATTTTTTCCCCTGTTGACAGTTGCTCTTGTTTTGCTTGCGAGTTGGCTCAGTCACTCCCTGCACTAAATCTGTCAAGTCAGTGTCCTCTAAATGTGCAACTCCGCTTAATTTTTTCCTTCCTTTTTTTGGGTACTGGGGATGGAGCCCAGAGGCACTCAACCACTGAACCACACCCTCAGCCCTATTTTGTATTTTATTTAGAATTTTATTTAGAGACAGGGTCTCACTGAGTTGCTTAGCGCCTCGCTGTTGCTGAGGCTGGCTTTGAACTGGTGATCCTCCTGCCTCAGCCTCCTGAGCCGCTGGGATCACAGGTGTGTGCCACCGCGCCTGGCGTTTTCCTTCCTTTTTAAACTTGACTTCTTCTGTGGTCCTGTATCTTATAGTTTAAAATTCAGCCCCAAACTGGTAAGAGTTTGTGCTTAAATACTTTGAATCTGTAAGTCTTCCATTCTCAGCTGCAGATGCAATCTTCAAGTCCACCCTGAACTTTAGCTCCTTCTGGGCCCACTGGCCTCTCGTCTGCGAGTCTACACAGGCTCCGCTGGCCAGGGCTGTGTATGTGGCTGGCCTTATTAAGGCCCATGGCCGTCTCAGTTCCCAAACTCCAAGTCTGCTGCCCAGCATTTGCCCAGCTAGGACTAAACCTTGGACCGTGGGAGCCACTGGCCCTCTTTGATACAGAGTGCCACTTTAGCCAGTCAGGCTCTACATCAAGGGAGACCCAGGAGGCAGTGACAGGGACGCTGCTGGTTGTCACGGGCCGCCAGCCCTCATGGAACTCTCATGCCAGAGCTTGGGGTGGGGGCGTTCAGAGAAGGCCTAGGTAAGTACCACCAGCTCAGTTTCAGTGGGGTTCATGAACACGCCAGCGTGTCCTAGGCCCTTGGTCAGTCTTCAGAGTGCTGAAGGCGCAGTGGGAAGTTTTATTCAGCTTCATAGTTTTTTTTTTTTTTTTTTAATTCAGGTAAAATAAACATAGCAAAGTTTACCCTTTTAACAATCTGTAAGGGTACAGTTCAGGGGCATTAAGATTGTTGCATTCATATTTATGTGCAAACACCACCACTGTCCACTCCTCACTGTTCCACTTTCTGTCTCTATGTGTGTGTGTATATATATTATATACACTCTATATCAGTGAAATCATATAAAATTTGTCATTTGGTGTCTGACTTCCTTTCACATAGCATATCTTCATGTTTCACCCATGTTGTAGCATATTTCTGAATTTTATTCTGTCTCATGGCTGAATAATATTCCACTATGTGGATATACCACAGTGTGTTTAACCATCCATCCATGAATGGACTATATAGTTGCATTTTGAGGAGGGAATTTTTCCACTTCTTTACTCTCCATTCATACTACACTGTTTCATTATTGACTATCTCCCATATTAGACTGTGCTCCATGAAGGGAGCAATGGAGCTTTTTAAATTGATTGCTCTACCCCCAGCACCCATAGTAGGCACTCAGTAGATACCTGAATATTTAAGGTAGGGACCAGGAGAATTTCCTCAGATCTTTTTTAAGCCGGGAGAGTTAAGTCCAGATGTATTTTAGGGGAAAAAAACCGGTTGCCACTATTTGCTGAGCACTTACTATGTTGCCCATGCCAACTTCTTTATAGCCTTATCTCATTTAATCCTTACAAGCAACTCTTTGTCTTAAGAATGTATGAGCTGGAGAGGCTGAGGCAGGAGGATTGCAAAATACAAAAGACATAAATTGTATAATCAAAATACTTTTTTTTTTTAAGGGGATGTGTGGTACTGGGGATTGAACCCAGGGCCTCCTACATGCTAGGCAAGCACTCTGCCGCTGACTGAGTTATATATACCTCCAGCCCCCAAAATACTCTGATTTAAGCACTCTCTCCAACGAGATGCCTTCCTTGCATGCTCATTCGGGGACGTGACGTCCTTAGGTGGGATGATGCCAGACTTAAAAAGTACCCCCTTAAGACCTCCATCTACGTTTGACTTGAAGTAAGTTCAGTGTGATGCGCCTCCTATCGACTGGTATTCGGGTCTGGGGACGAGGGCCTTGCAAGGGACAGGTGGAAGGGGCAGAGTAGGGGCAGGTCCCAGAAGATGCCCTGTGGTCCTCGCAGGCACCGAGAGGGAGGTCCAGACTGGGGCAGGGGCTGGGAGAAAGATACTGAAGCTGGGATGGGGCTGCCGATTTCTATGGGGGCCAAAGGAGGCTGGACGAGAGCTCACTCCACCCTTCTCCCGGCGGACGCTTCCCCGCCCGGTTACTCACCTTCTCCGAGGGCTCCAGGTTTCTCCACGCACTGTTGTCTCCGTGGTCCCTGCGTTGCTAGGTTACCCGCCAATCTCAGAAGGCGGGACTCGGTGTCTGACAGACTTTCCGTTTCACCGTTCAATTCCCGGTTTCTCTCTGTCAGCTCCACCTCCTGGGTTCTGACCAATCAGGATCGTCGTCTCTCTGACGTTCCACCAATTGAAAGACCTGGGACTCCCTCGGGTTCGGGCCGAGTGAGTAACGCGGAGAGTAGGGGAGGGGGAGGGAGGCGGAGCTTCTTTGTTCCACCTCCTCCCAGAGAGGCGGGCGGCGAGTCCGGCGCCAGCAGTGGGCGAGAACTGCGGAAGGACGCGAGGCTTGACCAATCAGAGCTCATCTGGCAGCCCGGGTGGCCAATAGGCTACGGCGGAAGGGAAACGGGGCGGGACGGCGGGGTTGAGGGGCCGGTAGGCGGCGGATCGGAGAGCTGGCGCAGCTGCTGTGGTGGCAGCAGCTCAAGTGGCGGTGGCGGTGGCGGCTGCAACAGCTCTGGACTCGGGGCTTTGGTGGCGGCGCCGGCGGGCTGGGCTGCGCTGTGCAGACGCCGGTGTGCGGTCCGGGTTCCTGGGGCGGCGCGTGTAAGAATCCAAGGGTGCGGGGGCTTGGCAGGAGGGAGAGGGCAGGGGTTGGGGGTCAAAGGTTGCCGGAGTGAGGGGTCGCGGCAGGGCAGCGGGTGTGGGTGGGGACAGGGGGGTTCAGGGCGACCTCGGGGAAGTCGCCGCGGTGCTTCTCCCTTCCATCCTGGGCTGGCACTTTGCACCCCTTTTGCCTCCCGCTTCCTGGGGCGACCCTCGCGTGGGGACCCTGATGGGAGCCTGGAGCACCGGGAGCTGGCGCTCCTGCCTCTTCCTTCCTCAGCTCGCTCATCTCCCCGCAGTCCCCAGGTGACCCCGCGGGAGACTCGTGCCTGGGGCAGGCTGCCCCAGCGGACGGCCGGTGTTGGCCAACTCAGTGTCCCCTTTCTCCAGGGGTGACCTTTCGGGTCCTCTGTAGAGGGAGAGTCGGAGCCTGTGGAAGGAGCAGTGGACTAGGACCCCGGAGTCCCGAGTTCCAGCTCTGCGGGTCCACTGTGTGACCTTGGACAATTCCCTTCCCCTCTCTGGGCCTCATTTTTCTCTCTGTAAAATGATGGGTTAGAATTCAAATTGGGGAACCGGTTCTGGGAGGAAAAGGTAAGGTTTAAGCAGGGAGAGTCCCTGAATTCAGACTGCCTGAATTGAAATCTGGCTGCCACAACTTTCCTTGCTGTTTAGGGAGTTGGGCAAGTTGACCAATCTAAGACCCAGTTTCCAAATCTGTAAAGAGGGGTGTTAGAATTTGTCGGCAGCAGTACTGTCCACATTTTGAGCCTCATGATCCTTTTTGTGGGTGTGTGGGGGTCTCAGCTATGCATTATAGGCTGCTCAGTGGTACCCCTGGCCTCTGCTTACTAACAATCACTCCCAGTTTATGACAATCAAAATGTCTCCAGAACTTGTTAGTGTTCCCTGGGCCACATCACCCCAGTTGAGAGCCACTGAGCTAGGGCAATGCATGCGTGTGTTAAACAGCTAAAACACAAACACTACTCGCTGTGATGATACTTTGTCGTGACAGAGTTTAGAAACCTCTCCTTGATGAGTTGAGAGGGTTAATAGTCTCCTGTCTTCAAAGTAATAACAGAGATAATTATCAAAGCTGAGAAATGTCTACAAGGAAGTTCTTTAATATATTCTTTCTACTTTTGTTTGAGAATATCCATGATATAAAGTTAAAACAGAGACTGAGGATACAGCTCAGTGGTAGAACATGTGCTTAGCATATTTGAGGCCTAGCACCAAAAAGGAAAAAAAAAAAAAGAAAAGAAAAGAAAAAAAAATGTTGAACCAAAACCAAAATGAAGCATCATTCTTAAGACAGCCTAATATTAGGTAGGGTCTCATTTGAGATTTCCTCTTCTGCTTCCCTCTAGTGAGATCTAAAAGCAAACAATCCCCAGATCTGGGGAAACTTTAAAAAAAAAAAATCCTGTCACAGGAAGTCTGCAGGGCGGAGAGCTACAGGCTTAGCCATCTACTTCTGCCTCCTTGTTTTAAAAAAGATGTGCTGTTCCCCTGTGATGCACAGAGATCTGCTCAGAGGTATTCGGTGATTCATTAAAGAAAATTGCCCAGTTGCCATTCAGTGGGTCCATCTGGAGGCAATGTTGATTGAGCTCAGAGGTCACAGTCGAGGAAAGATCTTGCTACAAAGGTCTTTAGATGGATCTGCTGAGTCTCGGCATTTCTTTTGGCCCTCCTAGGCGGAAATGGGGAGGTATAAATAGAAACTCTAACAGGCTAGATCTGAGTGTTTTAAATTGGGAGTTAGGGATGAGTACTTCTGCTGAGTGATATGGACATCATTTAAAAAAAAATTACTTTCCTCTTTTCTTTCCTCCTCAAGCATCTAAATCTTAGGAGAACAGTGTCTGTATGAGAAGGGAGTATGTTGCTTACCACAATGGTCCAGAGTAATCTTGAGAGTGTGTGTGTCTCAGAGGCTGCTTAGTAAAACCAATCTTGAAGTTGTTAGTTAAAAAGAAAAAAAAAGTGATGACCTGTTATGCTAACTCTTCATTAGTATTGAAGTTAGGTGCTGCCTAACTACAAGAGCTTGGGGACTTGGAGGAGTTGTAGCCTCCTGGGAATATGGGATTGGGGTCATGCTGCACGGTTCAAAGCTTGGCGTTCTAGCTGTGTGTTCTTAGGAAAGTTATTTAACCTCTCTTGTGCTTGAAGTGTCCCCTTCTGCAACTGTCATAGTAATTGTACCTATCCCTAGGGTGATTATGAGGCTTCAGTTGACTTTTACTTGTACAGAGGATATACTCACTGAGTATTAAGTACTAATTATTTTAATGCTTTTTTTTTTTTTTTGTCTTCAAAATCTTTACAACAGTCACACCCAGCTAAGTGTGAAGAGGGGTGGAGGTGGAACCGGTCAGCCCTATCTCACTCTCCAGATGTCATTCCCCTAACTGCACTTTTCATTCTGTGGCTGCCCTTCCCCGTGTCATAAAGCGATGACACTTTTGTGACTATTTTTAAATCGAGATAATAGTTCACGCACTGCGCGTTTACCACAGCCTCCATAATTCAGTGGTTTCGAGGGCAGTCATGGGGTCGTGCCGCCATCACCAATACCAAATCCAGAACACATTCGTCCTCTCTGGCTACGTTTTAATAATTGTCTTTCTTTTTTATTCTCCAGACTCTAGAAGATGCCCCTCATGGAGGAGGTTCTGAGAAGCACCTCTGGCTCAGTGGCTGTGAAAGAGCAGCTGTGTGAAGCCCTGGCCATTGCCTCCTGAGGACCTCGGGGAGGAGACCATGGCCGTGAGCTTAGATGACGACGTGCCCCTCATCCTGACCTTGGACGAGGGTGGCAGTGCCCCTCTGGCTCCCTCCAACGGCCTGGGTCAAGAGGAGCTGCCCAGCAAAAGTAAGACGGACTGAACGGCGGGGACCAGGGCTTTTCGATTTCAGGGTGACAGATGACGTGGGCCTTGGTCTGCTAGAAGAGGCAAGTGCCCTTCACCTGGCCCCGCACTTGAGGCTTCTGGTGCCACAGCCCCACCATTGTGGAGCCCAGGCAGGGGTCTGTGTGCCTCCCGGAGCCCAGTGGGCCTTGGCCACCCCCTCCCAACACCTGCAGTGCCTTGGCTTTTTGTCCATGGGTGCTTGGCAGGGACCTTGGGCCAACCTGCTCCTTGGCCAGCTTCCCTGTCCCATTCCTTGTTAAAAAAAGAAACAGATTTCGACATCAGCCTCCGTCTGTCCCAATCTGGAACCATTGGCAGGAGGAGCAGCGCTGACTGCTTCTCTCGGCTCCCACTCAGTCCCTGTGAAGCCCGGGCAGGGTGGAGGGGGTGCATCGATCGCTGTCCATTGATTTGAGGGTTTGGGGTTTTACTCTGTCCTCCTCGGAACCAAAGCCTAGCACAGTGTGAACCCCAGAGAGGTGGTGAGCTTTAAATTTTTAAAATTTTAAGTGAGTCTCTGGCAGAGCGAGAGGCCTTCAGATGCATTCTGGTCCTGCTCCCGAAGGCGCCTGCTGTCTCTGCGCAGGCTGCAGCTCAGATGCTTAGAATAACTGGCCTTTCCAGCAGGCTCCTAAGGTGTCAGGGCTCCTGAGCCAACGGACACCGTCTGCCCTTGTTCCCACTTGCAACCAGGCGGCCCGAGCCTGGCTCTCCCATCTCCTTTGTCCAGAGGAGACGCAGCTGGGTGAGAGAGCTCAGCCACCACTCCGGGACGTGAAGGAGAGCATTGTCACTGGGGGCATGGGTGTGCCCCACCAACAGGCCTGTCTTTACTGCAGCATGCTCACCCCCATCTGGGGTGGCGGGGCTGGCCTCTGAAGGAGGGTTAGCACACACGCCACATCTCCCTTTAGCGCCACCAGGCCAAGAAAGCAGTGGCTCCAATTTCTGGCTCCAGCTGTTTTCTTTCTAAGATCCCCTTGCAAGGTACAGAATGCTCCCTGTTTCACTGGGTTAGAAACCAAGGCTCAGAGAGGTGGAGTAACTTTGCCAAGGCCACAGAGCTGGCAAGTGGTTGAGCAGAGATTTGAACTTAGGACAATCTGCCTTGGGTTTCTTTCCCGTCTCCCCACATTTCCTCCTCCTCCTGTTCCTCCTGCTTCTCCTCCTCCTGTTCCTTCTCCTCCTGCTCCTGCTCCTCTTCCTCCTCCTCCTCCTCCCCTCCCCCTCTTCCCCCTCCCCCTCCTCCTCCTGCTTCTGCTGCTCCTCCTCCTCCTTCCTCTTCTTTTTCTTTTTTTTTCTTCATAAGGTTTTAATAAACGTGAGTGCAACTCCTTGGCTTTTTTAAAATTTTTTTTAGTTGTAGCTAGTACAATATTTTTATTTATTTTTATGTGGTGCTGAGGATTGAACTCAGTGCTTCATGTGTGCAAGGCAAGCTCTCTACCACTGAGCCACACCCTCAGCCCCTCCTTAGCTTTTTATTTAATTTTTAAGATTTTTTTTCCTCCTGGGGATCAAACCCAGGGCATAGTACAAGCTGGGCTCTTAGCATTTGTAAATATTATCAGATGATCTGA